ATCAATTTTTTAAATATTTAAGTTGGTACTACTTTATAAAATATTTGCTTTGTTTGGTTTTCATCGTAATTTGATAATTTTGCGTTTTAAATGGCATCCTACTTTATCTCACCCATTTGGGGTTTTTGCAAAAGTATACTACTTCATTGTCGTCTTTGTCGTCTTTGTCTTACTCACATATAATTAACAATTAAACATTTTTTCATTAAAATTAAACTAAAAACAAGTTTCCAAGACCTTATTTGGGAAATTTATTGTTTTATAATCGTTATTATTCAACAGGTTTTAATTAAATTAAACCATTTAAAATGTCATTAATGTCATGCGGCAACGTCGCTTTTAGTCGGCCATTTTGCAGTGACGTGTTTACGTTTTTCCTTGGATTTTCCATTTTTCCAGGGCGTTTTAAGCAGGAAAAACTGGTTTAAAGTACGTGGCTTTGAGTTTTTTTTTATTTTATGCAAAAAATTTCCAGTTTTCCAATAAGGTAAGGGACAAAAACTCAAGTCTCATCAAGTAGTTGCTGGAATGTTCTTAATAAAGGTTTTTCTTTAGATTTTCCGCTTTTTCAATTAGGAAAACCGATTTTAAATATGAGGCTTTGAGTTTTTTCCATTTTGTACCAAAAATTTCCAGTTTTCCAATGGGGTAAGTGACTAAAACTTAAGTTTCATCAAGTAGGCTTTGGAATGTCCTTTTCAGAGGTTTTTCTTTGAATTTTCCGTTTTTTTTTAGGGTTTTTTCGGTCGGGAAAACCGATTTTAAGTACGAGGTTTTCAGTTTTCTTCATTTTCTAGCACAAATTTATATTTTTAAATGCAATAATTAGGAAAATCCCATTTAAATGCCTTTTCTGGAAGTTTTGATGTGGCAACATCGTTTGTAGCCAACTTCAATCATGTAAACCTTGTAATAAATGTCATTTGTCAATTTGAAAAGTCGACCATTTTGAGTGTTTTTATTCATGTTTTTCCTCGAAGTTTCCGCTTTTCCAAGACGTTTTAAAACGGAAAAAAATGTTTTAAAGTACAAATCTTTGAATTTCCTTCATTTTGTGCCAAAAATTTTCAGTTTTGCAATGGGGTAAATAACAAAAACTCAAATTTCATCAAGTAGGCTTTAGAATGTCCTTTTCAGAGGTTTTTCTTTGGATTTTCCGCTTTTCCAGGCCGGGAAAACCGATTTAAAGTACGAGGCTTTGAATTTCCTTCATTTTCAGCTAAAAATTTTAAGTTTTAAATTAAAATTAAGAACGCAAAAAAAAATCAGTAAAAAACAACTTTTTAGGAAATTTATAATTTTTTTTTTCAGGTGGCAACATTGCTTTGTAGTCAACTTTACTCGGGTTCCAATCCAGTAGTTCTTGAAATGTTATTTCTAAAGTGACATTTGAGAAAAAAAATATGTTCACCCGCCCCACCCTATTATAGGCTGGTACATTTTTACTGAATTTGGTACAATTTGTCTTCAATTTTGATACAAAAAATTTTTGCTCTCTGGCAACACTGTTTCTATCTATAATAGAAAAAAAGTTATGACTTCAAAATTTTCCAAAAAAATCATAAGGGGGGTAGTCCAACAAATACCTTTTTACAGTCACGTGATTTTTCTCTATCCTTGTTGAATACATCTCAAACAGCGGTGATAGTAAAATTGACAAAAAAATTGCGGTCTAATTATTGTTCATAATATTCTTACCTGAAATAGAATCCGTCACTGCCATCAATTAGTTTGTCAAAGTTATTTTCGAAAGTAATACAACGAACAAACACAACTAATAATTTTGACTATATTAACCTTTTTCCAACTCGAAAAGAAGCAAATAGAAAACGGGTACCCAATTCAAGTTCAGAATGTATTACAACAGACAGCACATGCAACAAAAGTGAGTCTCGCAACAATTGCAAGTATTAAAATTGCCCTCTGCGATTGGTCAATACTACTTCAGAAATGCGTTTGTAAAATGCTAGTGGGAACATATATTAAAATTCAATAGTAATTAACCACCAGTAGCTTTTTGTAGGTGATATCAACGACATAATCAATGGACATACGTTTTTTGCCACCAGTATCACGTGACTTTAAAATGGTATTTGTCGGACTATATAAGTGCAAATGAGCTGAAATTTTCAGGGATTGTAGTCCTTTGAAAGGGATAAAATTCAGTGAGAGTTTAACCCAACTTAACCCAATTTAGACTAACCCAACTTAACCCTTTTTTTTTTTTTTTTTCTGCAGGAGGAAAATCTTCGAAAAGACATCCAGTCTGTTGTTTGGCGACTGGATAGTGTCGGATTCGAGCGTTGGCCCGCCTACCGACTAAAAACCTCCTGCTTGTGTGTCTGCGTTCATCTCACACTGGAACCGCTTTCGTATTACTTCAGTGTGGATAACGGGGGTCTGTTCTGTCATTTTCTTTTACATATAAGTCCTCTGGTATTTCTCTTCTTCCCCAGACTTTTCCGTCATAATGCCCACTATCATTCTTGCAATTTCTTCCCATTTCTGCTCACTACTGACCATTTCCGCTGTCGTGTTATCTGGTTTAAGTCTCAGTCCTATTTTTTGATAACACAGTTCTCTTTGGTCATGCCACCTCTGGCACATATAGATCGTGTGTTCTGCTGTGTCTTTTTCTCCACAGTAGACACATTCGTCGTCCTCACTTTTGCCTATTTCGTAAGTGTACGTCTCGGTGTACGTTCTGTAGCTCCCGTGTCCAGATAAGAATTGCGTGAGGTAGTAGTTTGTATCTCCATGCTTCCGGTTTATCCACAATTCGATGTTGGGTATTAGTTTGGCTGTCCATCTACCCTTAGTGCTCTCTGCCCATCTTTCCTGCCATCTCACCATCAGTCTCTCTCTGGCTACTCTGCGTGCTATGATTTTTTCTACGTTGGCCGCTTCGTATACTTCAGTCTTTTCCTTTATTATGAGGTCGATTGGGGGTGTCTCATCCGCTATAACGAGCAGGGCTTCCGTGGAGACCGTGCAGTATGCGCTTGTTATTCTTATCGCAGATCTTCTTTGCAATGTCTCATATGTTTTCCTGTTGTGTTTGGTTTTCATGGCATCTTGCCAGGCGGGTACTGCGTATAGCAGTATGGAATTGAGCACGGAGCACAGCAGCCTTCTCTTCGCAGCTTGCGGGCCGCCGACGTTGGGCATCAGTCTCCCAAGTGCCATCATGGTATTTCCGGTTCTGGTGGCGGTTTGTTGTACATGTTCTCTGAATGTCAACTTGTTATCTATCCACACGCCCAAGTATTTCACTGCTTTTTTAGGTATAATTTCCCTGTTTAGTATTCTAAATGTTGTTTGTGGGGTGTGCCTCTTTGAAGATAGTATGACTATTTCCGTTTTTTCTGTAGCTAGCTCTAGCTGGTTGTCTTGTAGCCAGTCCTGTACGAGTTTCATTGATTTCTCCGTTTTAGTCTGTAAGTCTCTAGTGTCTTTTCCCGTTATAACCATGGCTATATCATCTGCGTATCCTACCAAAACGACGTTTTTTGGTTGTTTCTTTTCAAGCAGTCCGTCATATAGAATATTCCACAGGGTTGGTCCGAGGACTGATCCCTGTGGGACACCGCATGTCATCGCAAATTCCTTGGTCTTTCCTGCTGCTTCTAGCAGGATAACCCTGTCTGTCAGATAGCTCTGTATTATGTCGACAAGGTAGGGTGCAGTTCCTCTTCTTCTTAGTTCATTGACTATGTTCCTCCATGGTGCAGAGTTGAATGCATTTCTTATGTCCAATGTAACCAGTAAACCAATTTTCCTGTGTCTGTGGCTTTTCCTATATATCGCTTCTCTCACCGGTTTCAATGCTTCCTGGACTGCGTTCACAGTCGACCTGTTTTTTCTGAAGCCAAATTGCCTTGCCGAGAGCGCCTCGTTAAGGTTCAGGTTGTCCGTCAGTCTAGATAAGATGATATGTTCTAGCAGCTTGGCTTCTGTGTTCAGGAGACATATTGGTCTGTATTTGGTCTTTTCTTTGGGCTCCTTTTTTGGTTTCTCCAGTAAGGCTAGTCTGGCTTTTTTCCATATCTTTGGGAAGTCTGCTCTTAGTATGGTGTCATTCAAGAAGGGTTTCAGAATATTTGGGTTCTTTTGTAGTACTGCTTTCAAAATTTCCGGTGGCACTCCGTTTAGTCCTGGAGCTTTATTGACTTTAAGCTTCTGTGCGGCACTTTTAATTTCTTCCATGCTAACCTCAGGAATTTGGTCGTCTCGGTTGGTCCGATCCCAGACCGTTATATTTCTTTTTGAGAATAGCTCTTCCGTCACCTGTAGCATGTGTTCCATCGTAAGTGCTCGTTTTTCTCCTCTCAGCTTGAGTCTTCTCGTCGCAATCTTGTACCCTTCTCCCCAGCAGTTTACATCAATGTCATTACATAGGCTTCTCCAGCATTTCCTTTTGGTGGTGTCTATTTCGAGTTTCAGGGCTTTCCTTTTCTTTGCATAGTCTTCTACGTCCGCTGCGTTTTTGTGTTTGTTCTTTTTGTTGTTCCTTGTTAGTACCCTTTTAGCTTTCAGGCAGGTTTTTCTTAGCTCTGCTATTTCGTCAGTCCACCAGTAGACTGGGTTTCTTCGGGATACCGCAGCTTTAAGAGGCATTGACTTATTGCATATATTCACCAGTGCTTGGCCAACTTTTTCCGCCGTTCCTCCTCAAGCTTCAACACGTTTATTCTTTTAGTATTCCATCCCTTCGGCTTTATTAGCGCTAGCTCCCTTTTCTGTGGGAGTTTGATTTCAAAAAATATGTAATTGTGGTCACTCATAGTTTCTAGTTCTAGCGTCTCCCAGTTTATAACTCTGGATCCTAGATTGCCCCTTGTCATTGTTATGTCCACTATTGAGCTAGCTTGGCCTCTCTGGAAAGTTGGTTTTGTACCGGCGGTGTTCATGATCATTAGGTTGCGGAGAGCCATTCATTGTCAGAACTGTGCCCCTTTGATTTGTCTCCGTCACTAACTAACCCAACTTAACCCAATTTAGGCTAACCCAACTTAACCCAGAGTGGTCACGTGGTTTTTAACTAATAAGAGCCCCATATAAACCATATAAAATAGTTTACCAGTCTTACAGATAATTCTAAGAGTGGTCACGTGGTTTTTAACTAATAAGAGCCCCATCTTACTGCGCACCATATTACACCAACCCTCTATTTGAAAATTTGTTCCAGCTTGAGTTGAGAACTATCTAAAATTTTCAGTCAGTCGCGCATCAGCTAAAGAAGAAAGCAGTGGGTAGATACGTGCTGCCTGTTATAAGTTTTACGTAAAAAATAACGCGCGCTGAAACTTTTTAATTGAATTTCAATATTTAATTATTTAAAAGTTTCTGTTTTTAAGTTAGTGAGCAGTGATAAGACAAAATATAATGTTTTTTTCATAATAATTATTACAATTTTTTAACAAAAATGTTGCTGAGGATTATTTTTTTGGGATTTTTTACAAAAGGTAAGTTATACATAATTTTCAAAATATTATTGTTTTTTCAACAGGAGAGAGTTAAAAAAAAAAAAAAAATAGTTCCATAACTAACTACTAACAAATTTATTCACAGTTTGAAATGAAACCATTATTATTCGTTAGGCCAACCGTAAAAACAACTGTACCATAAATCCTCTTTCTTTTTGCTTAAACCATACCTTTACACACACCCTACTAACAATAAATTATTTGAGTATTGGAAATTATATTTTAGATTATTTATTAAGCAAAGTTATTGGGCTCATCCAACAAAAGGTTTTTCAACTTAAAAGTTACCCAACCTTGAATAATATTTTTCTGACCCAGATATGTTACAGGGTAGAACAAAAATGCACGCGACAAATAACAATCTTTTCTTAAGATCGTTCACCTTCAATTGCATCTTAAAATTAGACTCCCCTGTTTAAAGACCCAGACAAGGGAGTTCAAGATCATTGAAAATACACACATTGCATTAAATGGTTATTTTTAGCCTCAAGATGTACTCATTTTTTCAATAAAAACCCATCATCTGTATATAAAATGTATTCATCTGGAAGTTCAAAAACAAAGCGGGGAATTGGATTTTGCCTTTTTCCAATTTCACTTATATTGGATAGAGTCAATAAAAAAGTTTCGTTATGTACTGAAAAACTCCGTTTCATCTACATGCAAATCAACTAATAATAAACAGAATATAGAAAAGCAGCGGCTGGCCTGGAGCACTTTTGAAACTAATAAAAAGTTAAAATACATTATAAAAAGCACAACTTTGCATTGTAATGAAGCTGCAACCGGGGTTATTTTAATTGGAACAATCTAGGTTTATAATAATGTGCGCTGCAAGCTGGGGGAGGCGTTTTATTAAATTGGATTAATTTTTAATTTAATGTTGAGTCTATAATAATATCCCTTGAAGCTGTAGATCCATAGAAACTCTATTTATAAAGTTTAATTTAGCAATTATTATCTATTCACAATCTGTAGTCCGAAGGTTCAGGTAAAATTTGTCATCTTTCAATGCTATTTGATAGGGAAAGGTGATAAATTTACCTGTACCTTTGGATTACAGATTGTGAATAGAATATACTCTTAGTTGTAGAATTTTATGTAAGAGACATAGAAAGTCTAAATTATTGTAAAATCTGTAAAATTGAATATACAGTTCATTGCGTAAATCTACAGAAAAAAAAAAGATTTATTGTAAAAGTTCTATTGAATGTCAACGACTACCAAATCCTGTAAGTTTCAAGTTGCTTTGATGGCTCAAAGTATTTTTCAGGAACCTTCAAAGGTGAATATACAGGAATTTTGTATTGATAAGTAAAAAAATCCCTAACTTTGATGACATCAACTTCCAACTTGTTTTGCATCATGAAAAAACTAGAATTTTTATGTTTTTCTCAGGTATTAATGAGTAAAAAAATCCGTAACTTTGGTTATGAGTTTCATATCAACTTCTAACTTGTTTTATATCATGAGAAAAGTCGAATTAATGAATCCTGAAAATTTCAAGTGTTTTTCAGGAGGTGATTTTACAAGAATTTTATGATTTTCTCAGGTATCAATGAGTAAAGAAATCCGATCCATAATTTCGATTGTGAGTTTCATATCAACTTCCAACTTGTTTGTATCATGAAAAAACTTGAATCAATATCTTAAAAGTTTCAAGTTCGTAGTTCGTATGATGGCTGAAAGTATTTTTCATGAACCTTCAAAGACTTTGTAGTCTAATTTAAGAGCTGTGAAAGCTGTAGAATTGAATGTAGAACCATAAATACTTTACAATTGTCTAGATTAGTGTAGAACCTAAAAAATTCCAATAAGCTAATAGAAAATCTACAAAAGAGTGTCTTGATTGATTGAACTTTATATAGAAGCGAGAAACCAACTACCTACATGGTCTTTAGATTATTATGGCAACCATAGATACTCTTCAGAGAATTTGTATCTAGATTATTTTAGATTGTAGCAGTTGTAGAAGCTCAATAAAGTGACAAAATATATACCTTTAAAATGCATTGTCAAGTTTTTAGAGATTCTATAGAAAATTATCTAGACTGAGATTCTATAAGACATTTTGTATCTCGAATTCCAATTTCTTGAGTATAATTTCTTGGCACGGGTCAAACGTATTTGTCATCACGAAACTCACCATTCCGTGGTTCCGCCTATTATTACGTTCCGCCTCGAAATAACGTTTTTGTTCTTTACAACTGCGAAAAATAATAAAAGATTTAATCAACTTTGAGCCATACAGAAAGGGCCCAGATTGGGAATTTCTTGTCCGATTAGTGTTTTCTTTTTGATGATTATTGTCATTCTTTATGAACGTTTTTATCAGTAGCGGCCCGTGACTTTTATTTTGAGGGAAGCAAAAAATTAGCGAAGTAGGTAATTTTTTTAAAATTATACAAAAATATACAGTGAGGGGCAAGCTACTAGGTATATAGAATGTAACCTGACGAATTTGCAGGCGTCTGCATGTCAGAAAATGACAAATCGATTTAGCGCTAACCTGGCGACAACCAAGTAAAAAGTTTCTAGGGTTGTTAATAATTTTCAAAAATACGGTTGTGTTTCTCCCTGAAACCAAACGAAATGACGTCCCGGAAAATAATGAGGATCAAGAAGCCAAATAAATTATGTTGTTGGTTGTTGGCAATAGTTAACAAAACTTCAACTATTTCGACTCGTGCGCTTGCGCAGGATATTGACTCAAGTACAAGGACGGTTAGGAGCCACAGAAAAAAAAAGTATCGTTCGTACAAAGTAAGAAACTTCCCAAAAATTGATCCTGAGGACAACATCAGGCGAATGGATTTTTGTGAAACTGTCATTAATAAGGCAAATGAAAATCAAGATTTTCTTAGAAAAATTGTCTTTACAGATGAGTCGACATTTTAACTCCATGGTCGACATAATCCTAGTCACACCCGTTATTGGTCTAAGGAGAATTTACACAGGTATTTTGAGCTTAGAGCCCAGCGTCGTCAAAAGGTAACTGTCTGGAGCGGTTTTTTTGGATAACATATTATTGGGACGTACTTCATGGACGCTAACTTAACTGGTCCAAAATATTTGGATCATTTGCAACGGGCCAACGGCAGATAATTCCAGAAATTGAAAGATTATCTGGTCCTATAAATTTAATGAAATATGGTATCAATAAGATGGATGTCCAGCCCATAATACGGGTTTCATTCTGGACCATTTGAATAATACTTTTCCGAACCGTCTGATTGCTGGGTCGAGAGCTACAATACTGTGACGCTCTCCCGATCTTGCACCCAACGATTATTTTCTCTGGGGTTATTGCAACTCAAAAATGTATGGTTTTCAGGAGAATCGCGCCGTGAACCTTGAGCAGCTGCGTTTCAAAATTCGAGAAATATATCTAACTGTCACCCCTGTGATGCTAAATAATATTCGTAGAGCCTTCTATGATTGTTTAGGTCATTGTTTAGTTCAAGAAGGTGGACTGGGACTGTTTGAACATTTGCTACATTGAAGTGCAAATGGTAATCGAGCCAGGTTTTTGGGGTCAAAACTAGAATTTTTGTTTTTATTTTACCTAATTTTTTTTCTATTTTTTATGTTGAATATATTTTTAGTTTTTCCTGGATGGCTTTTTTAAAATACATGTTTTTTTTCCATAGATTATTGTTTCGGTTCCAAAAAAAATCTATCTATACACGCCGTTTAATAATTATAAGTAAGTGAAGCTCGACGATACATCTAAAAGCACGGTCTAGATGCTACGTTTTGCATCAAGTTTTGTCTGCACACTTCAACACGTGATCAGGTATCAGTAACGTAACGTCTGGACCGGGCTTAAGTCTGTAAAATCATAAAACGTACTGATGTGAACCATGGTTTATGAACGTCAAAGTCATCGAAAAAACGACAGCGGACCGACAGCGACAGGTGTTCAGACGGCTGCGGACGATCGTAAATTCGTCAAGTTGGATCCTATATACCTAGTAGCCTGCCCCTTACTGTATACAGTAAGGGGCAGGCTACTAGGTATATAGGATCCAACTTGACGAATTTACCACCGTCCGCAGCCGTTTGAACCCCTGTCACTGTCGTTCGTTCAACAACTTTGACGTTTGTTTACTTCAGTACGATAGACTTAAGCACGGTCCAGACGCTACGGTTCAGCTTACTGATCAAATTGTTTTGTCTGCAACGTGTTTAACTGTATGCAGACAAAACGCTGTGCAAAACGTAGCGTCTGCGCCATGCTTTCAGATATTTCGTCAAGCTTTATTTATTTATAATTAAGTTTACGCGTGTAGATAGCTAAGCGTTGGTTATCAATGTAGACACTAGACACTTTAAGCAAACCCTAAATTTTCCTACGTATCCGTATACGCTTCTGTAAACGCATCGACTTACGTTGACCACCTAAAAGTCCTGTCCCCTTGTAGCTGTGTTTGTAGGTTTTATTTTTATCTCTAAGTACTGTGTTTATGTTGTTGAAGTTATTTTAGTAATAACTGACAGGTAGATCCCTCAATAGTGTCAAATGATTGAGATACGTGTTCGGATACAGATACGAGTCTAGGCTCGTAACGATACGGATAACGCAACGCAACGAGACCACCGTATTTACTATCTATCCTGCGTTAGATACGTCTGAAATTCAGGACCTGCTTAAAGTGTCTACTTGCTTATCCTGAATTTTTATATGTATCCGTCTCCGCATCGATCTGCGCACGCGCAGAATAGATACGGTGGTTTCGTAGTCCGCATAGTTAAGGCTCATCCTCAATCAATTTAGTAGCGAAGTGGCATTTCGGCACGCAAGCTAGGAAAATGTTGTTTAACGTTGGCATCCTCAATTCGATTCCGTGCTGACATGCACGTCGACTCCAAAGTGAAGTTTGCAAGCTGCCAGCTTTTTCGATGCGTGCCGACTTATGTCATGCGCAGTACGTTTAAAAATTAATTTAGGTTATCCTTGCGTTCGGTATTTTGCTCAA